TCCGTTATCGTGTATAAACGAATCATCGTTGTCTTCACCCCGAGCTCGTCAGTGCGACAGGGTTGACGACATGAGGACATGGACTACATAGGGGAAGGAGTTGAGAAATAGGATAAAACGAGAGAAAATGTGAAAAAAGGTTCACATGCAAAATTCATGCAATTAAGATGAGGGAATTGTACAGAAAAATGAAAGAAGGATATAACACGATGTGAGTACTAAATACGTGTAAGAGGAAGCAAAATTGATTGTACTCAACAGGCTAAAACATCTGAGAGAATACTGAGTATATGAAACTGCCGAAGGCGGATTACAAAAAGTTGAGTCGTAAAAAGTAATAGTGGTAACAGGAGAATTAGTGTTGAACACCGCTGCCAATGAGAATACCTCTAACCAGCCTACTTATCTTTCTTATAGTTATTTGCAATAGAGTATTTGTAACTTATAAATTTATTTTTGTAAATACATTTCACAATGCTAGTAATAATAAAATCTTCTTCGTAGCCATTTTTCAAAAGAGTAACGTCATATCCGTTATATTGCTTACGAATATGTCAGAATTACGGATGTTAGCTATCCTCAATGTTTCCGTGCATACAACAGAGGCATTGTTTATAAGAGAAATATTGGTACGTTATACTGATCGTTAAATCTGAAATAATTGCTGAAAACTTGGCTTGTATGAGTCTTTTTCAATTGAAGGGTGTTTTTATAAACTTCAGTAAGTTGTTCATCGACATCGCTATCAGTTTGGTTATGTACAACAAGCAAATCGTCCATATATCTATATGGAATGAACAGCTTACTGTTATTAAACTTTTTGGATTTAGCATAGTAATACTCCATGACAGAAAGCGTAAGATCTGCCAGTAGTGGACTAAAATTGCCACCTCGTAGGACAGCTTTCGTCTTAAACGTATTATCTGCAAAAAGACAGAAAGTATTACGTAAAAGATAGTTGATTGAGTATACTAAATCGCTGGATTTGTAATATCTGTAGTTGTTCTTGATTTCTTTACCATCTGTATAGAAAACATGGTAACCATTAGTGGCAATAAAGGATCTGTTGGCATTTTTGAAGCAAATGTTAAGAAGTTCTTGCATTTTCTTAATAATAAGATCATGTTCTAAATTTGTGAACATGTCCGTGAAACCCTCAGTGTAAATTTTGGCGTAGTCCTTGGGCATCATGCCCCAAGGTCTCAGCAGCTGCCATAAGCATCTGTGTTCCATCTGAACTTGACTGGACTTTTATGTAGCTTTCGTGATGCATGTACAGTAAGTGTTTCTGCAAATATTATTTTTTTACACAAAGGAATTTGTGCTTCAATATTAAAGAATACTTGTTAGTATGAGGCATTAATTCATATGTGTTATTACTGTTTCCATAGACAAATGTGTGGTTGGCAGCATCATAAGAAATGCCCATTTCATGCATTATGTTCAGAAAGGTAGAACTTCTTGCAGATGATGCCATAGTTATTATTT